GCCCCTGCTGGGCCGGGCCGCCCCTCCCACCCCGGATGAGAAGATTGTCATTGGGTTGTCCCATTCTAAGCACCTTTTCTTGTGACAAACTGAAAGTCTAAGAAGCAGGAAAATTAAAAAGCCTTCAGAAATCCCCCCATTGTGATAATATTTTGGGTGGCACCCAGACATCTCAGTATACACACGTATACACACAGGCGTGAACAGGGTTTTGCTACTAGACCTCTTTCTCTGTTAATAAAGTTTATTTTGTCATTATGTCGTATTATTAAATGAGATTATCATGTATTATTTTCAGTGGCAGCATACGTATTCCGTTGTAGGAGGTGGCATAACTAACCCCCTCTCCCGCGTTGAAGAGTTGACTTAAGAGTTTTCTGTTATAAAAACAACAGCTGACTAGTTGTTGCCTTGGCCTAGACTTATTCCTACTCCTGCCCCTTGCCCTATTGTAAGTAGCTCACACCTTTTTGGAGGCTCTGGAGATGCTTGCCTAGGGCCCTCCCTGTTTTAATTAGCCCAGTTTGATTACCAGGCATAGGAAGAAAATGCGCACTCTTACTTAATTTTTAAATGTGCAAATAAAGTGCATACTCTGGAATCCTTGTAAGATGGTTATATCGGGATAACAACCTTTCCACACTTTTTATTTCTCTTTTTTGTTCTTTAATTGTTTGTGTAACAGAGTAAGCAGGAAATTCACAGGAGGTCTGCTCGGCTCAGAAACACTAAATACAAATCTGCTCCAGCTGCTGAAAAGAAAGTTTCCACTAAAGGAAAAGGGAGAAGACATATTTTTAAATTAAAAAATGTAAGATGATTGTGGACAGTGTGTTTTACTGTAATGGTGTTGTGTGTGTAGTGTGTCTTGCCTCTGCCTTCCTCTCTCACCATTGAACTTGACTCTGCTCTTGGGAGGTCTTCTGTGGGATTCTGGAGAGTGGGCCAGACTTTCTCAAAGGGACTGAGCTCTGTTGCAGGACGCTTATTGTTTTTAATAATACTTTCTCTTTTTTTAGCCTTTATTTTTTCCTTTGGAAAATATAAAATATGAGCCTAAAAGAAACATAAACCTTGAGCACATTTTATTGGGTTCTCCATGCAAAGGATGAGGTGGGATTGTGGTTCTTGGTATGGCCAGCTACACTAGGAAAACTTTTTTTTTTTCCGTTCTTTAAAGACCTAAGTAAATAATAATACTGGAACTCATTCATTGCTGTATTTGTTTGTTATTATAGCCCCAAGAAAATGTATCGTACTGATTTGTGATGATATATTTAATGAATACGAATGAAAAATTTGCTAAACCTTTATCTCTTCTGCTATAAGAAAAATAGATTGTTGGAAAAAAAAGAAGAGATTGTTGAAAGACTTGTGGGGATAGTTGAAAGCACTTTTTTGTTGCAGTAAATTCTCATTATTTTTGTAAATACAGGGGGACAATGGTCAAACACAATGGACAATGCATTATAGACTGTTTTTTTAAACTTTGGTGTGGTCTTTCCTTTCAGAACAGGAATGCTTCACTTACCAGTAAAGGCATTTTTGAAGTTGGGCATATTCATTTATTAAACACAAAGGCGCCCTGCAGTGTATTCTCGTGCAGATTCTGGATTCTTTTTGAAAATAGTTGCCTCTGATTTATTTAAGAATTGTATAATTTAGTTTTCATAAAATGAGGCATTTATTGACTAGACAAAACATATTAAGTAAATATTCATTTGATTATAGTTGTATCACTTAAACACGTTTTCCTCTTAAGTTTGGTGGAATATGTTCTCTGCAATTATTGCAATATCAATTTCTCTAGCAATGCTTTCTTCAAGGATGATATCAAGACATTTGGAGAGGCCTAGTTTCTAGTGGCTTGAAAAGTGTGTATTGCAACTTAAGAAGGGATTTCAATGATGGTTGGATGGTGGCAAATTACTAAGAACTCTCGAGGAAGTTTCTTTTAGCTTTAGTTCAGGCTTGCTAGAAAATTAGTTCTGATGATATTGAGTATCTTAGCTAGTTCCGTAGTTAGGGTGAGATGGAAAATGTCTTCAAGGAGATACTTTTTTGCTTTGTGTCTACCTGCACATTCTTTATTACTTCCCCTGCTGTCATGCTCAGGCTATTATAGCCAGTATATTCTTATAACTAGAATGTTAATGTGTAATAGAGCTCTGAGAAGGCTTCTGTTAGGTCTCAGCAACGTAATAAGAAGCTTGTCTTTCGGTTCGCAGCAATTTTTAAGCTAACGGTAGCAGAAATAGTGGAAATACTCAGACTGTGTTTTGCCACAACATTGAGAAAATCATTTATCTTTTTGTTACAGTTCTTGTCACCAAACAACAAATTTAGTATTTCTCAAATTACAGAACTCTTGTATATGGCTGGAAAAAGGCCTCTACTTAACATACACACTCTGAATGTGCTAATATTTTTACTTTTGCTTTTTCATAGCCCATCAAAGCTCCTGAGTCAGTTTCCACCATAATCACTGCAGAATCAATCTTCTACAAGGTAAGCATCTGTAGAGTTTCTAAAGGAAGACTTAGGCCTCTTGTATAATGTGCTGCTAAAATGTTGGGTTAGTCTAAAGGTCTCTGTTTCTCTATATAAGCTGTGATTGTGTTTTTTGTTCTCTTCTAAGCTGTTTTCCTCCATTGGTGGCTATTATAAAACATCTCATCCAGAGCTAAGGTGGGAGGGGAAGTTGCCTACTGAAATATGGTATGAGGATCTTAAGTATTTTTTAATGTACGTTATGGGAATTGTTTTTAAAATGCTAATCTATGGTGTGGAGCTATGAAAGAGCATGCCATCCTAGTCAGTGTGACACATTGAAGGGTGAGAAGGACAGAGGTGGAATTTGAACTAGTAGAGGATGAAGACCATGATGTCTAGTGGGTAGAGTAAGCTCAGAGATCTAAAATGCCTCTCAGCAGAAGTGAGAGGAATAAGGGCAGTAGTGGGGATGAGCACCTACTAGACGTGCATGGTGAGAGGGAGTCCAAGATGTTTTGATAAGAGTGAGGTCAGGTTTCCTAGGGCCAGCACCCACGGACAGCTGATACCTCAGTGAGAGAGGGGACATATTGTTATTTTTGAACCAGAAGCCATTGGAAAGCAGTTGGAACAGAGAAAAGACCTCCAAGCCCTGGCAGGCCAGGCACAGGCAGCATTAAACACTGGTGTTTTGGGGTCTGAACTGTCACTTAGGGGGCAGTAATGTGAGTTAGGGCCTTATACTTGACCTAAGTGGACCAAACACTGGGAAACACAGGTGATTATGCTCCCTGAGTGTATGTTTTTTGTATTAGCCCAGAATCTGTATAGTCTAAAACAGTCTATACACAGGCAAACATCTCTCCTATATTTCTAGCATTTTATACATTGTTGATAATAAATAAAATAGCTAAACTTTAGTATGTGCTTGCAATGTATCAGGCACTGATGAGCATTTCACATGCTTTATTTCATTCAGTCCACTCCATGAAGTGGGCACTATTATCCCCATTTTATGGAAGAGGACATTGAGGCACAGAGAGGTTAATTAACTTGTCCAAGAGCACATAGCCAACAAGTCACAGAGCGAGACAGTCAGATGCCAGAGCCCAAGCCCAGGCTCCTCTGCTCGGGCAAGTGGCTGTGCGACTGGACTAGGACCAGCCTCTAATGTTTCTTCCTCAGTAAAATAGGGATTGTAAATAGAAACTACCTCATTGGGTCAGGCCAGATCATGTATGTTAAGCACTTAGCAGGGTAAGCACTCAATGAATAGTAGAAATTATCATCATCACATTTTTAAATTTGTGCATTACCTTCATAGCTGAACTTAGACTTGACAGATTCAGTCCAGAAGCAACTAGACCTAAGCTAAGGATTTAGTGTACTCATGATTTCCAGTCGTGTCTCCATGGGGAGGTGTGTGGGGCCTGTTATTGCAAGTATCAGTACTTTCTCATTGCTGTCTACCACCCATGTTTATTAAACAGTAAGGACAAAATGCTATAAAATATTCAAGTAATGCTGTAGATACCCAGTGTTGTGGAGGCTGTCACAGCAGTGCCACTGCAGGCAGCACCGTGGTGGGCAAGTTTAAGAGGTCATTGCCAGCTGCTGAACTAGAGCCCCGATCAGGCATGCGGGAGGGAGCTGAGTAGAAGCCACTGGGTATGGTGGCCAAGAGTATGGGCACCCAAGACCCATAATGGTTAAGTGACCTCCCTGCAGCACTTCAGTGGCAGAACAGCTTCATGAACTCAGGTCCGGTAACTCCTAATCCAGTGTTCTTCACTGTATTGGGTGAACCCCTTTCCTCTCTGCCAGAAACCCTGAAACCTCCCTGCAATGAGGGGCCTCCTTAGATCAAGTGCCTTAGTCCTGTTTGGTGTTATATATGTGTATACACAACACAACACATATTAATAAACACCTGCCATGTACCAGGCTCTGATTGCCAGTGGAATCTTTCACTAAGGCATTGTGCTTGCCTTGTAGTTCTGCTTTCACACTATTATGTATTTTGGATTAATGTTCATTCAGCATATATTTGAGTGCCTATGACAGGCAAGGCCCTGTTTTTTATGTGTGTGAGAAAATAAATATAATCATTTGTAATTTGGGAATAATGATGGTACATGTGGACAAAGCAAGCCATAAATGCAAACTATTTATATGATAAATAACTTAGAACTTTGGAGTAGTGGTTAGAAGGACCAGCTGATGATGGTTCATTAGGCTCAATTACTGGAAATATTCCTTCAGAATCGTGTTTATGGTTGAGGGGCACAGCCCAGCAGCTTTACCTCCTGTCGAGGCCCTGTTTGGAGGGGGAAGCAGTGATGACTCACCCCTGGTTCCTGCAGTCAAGGACAGTATGGCCTACTGAGAGCTGCACTGACCTACAGAAGTGCTGAGTGTCTTAAAGATTTGCATTGGCCTTTGTGGTTACTGATATAGTGGATATTATGGATATATATGGGTAATAAATAATCTCAAAGGAGAGATTATTTCCAGTTCAAGACCCAGGGAAGAGGACACGGGACGGATAGCAGAGGCAGAGGCATAGGGAGAGCTAAATACAGGACATGTACAGATGAGGTAGTTGGGTATGAAGTAGAACAGGGATAAGACAAGAAGCCTTGAGTGCCAGAAATATGAGAAATTGTCTGGTGGGAGGATATAAAAGTGAACTGGCAGGGAGAGACAGGCACCAGTGAGACTGGGGAAAGGGTCAGTAAATTGAGGGTAAACCTGAAGAGTTTCTGTCATTTCTTCTAGTGTGAATTTATGGTATCTATTTTCTTTAATGGATGGTTGAGGAGGGAGGTGTGTAGAGAACATTCTTACCAGGTAAGCCCACTTTTCAAGACAGTACAGAGACAGACTGCTGAGCTGTAGGACAGACAGCTTGGCTGCAGCTCTGCCTTGTGTGGCTTTCAGCTAGTCACTTAACCTTTCTACAGCTCGATGGCTGTGGCCAAAAAAGGAGAGATAGGACGGTTGTGATATAAAGTCAAAGTATTTTTGTCAACAAATGTTTTCTCCAGATGCAAGTTGTCATGTGCGTGTGTGTGTGTGTAAAATTTTTTTCATTCAAAAGTGAAACAAGGGCCGGCCCCGTGGCTTGGCGGTTGAGTGTGCGCGCTCCGCTGCTGGCGGCCCGGGTTCGGATCCCGGGCGCGCACCGACGCGCCGCTTCTCCCGCCATGCTGAGGCCGCGTCCCACGTGCGGCAGCTAGAGGGATGTGCAGCTATGGCACGCAACTGTCCACTGGGGCTTTGGGGGGAAAAATAATAAATAAATAAAATCTTTAAAAAAAAAAAAAAAGTGAAACAACTTTAGAATTGGCATCAACCGTATAAACATTGATACATTAGACCATTCTTGCAGACCTTTTATTTATCATATAATTCCTTTCATATTAGGGAAGTTTCAGTTCCTGGCCGTGATGCTGTTCTATTTTTATTTTAAATATGAGATTATCTTCTATTTCCCCCAGGGAGTGTATTACCAAATTGGAGATGTTGTTTCTGTGATTGATGAACAAGATGGAAAACCCTACTATGCCCAGATCAGGGGTTTTATCCAGGACCAGTATTGTGAGAAGAGTGCAGCACTGACATGGCTCATTCCCACTCTCTCGAGCCCCAGGGACCAATTTGATCCTGCATCTTACATCATAGGTGAGTTTGAAAATGGTACAGGTTCTTGAGCCCAGTTAATTCTCCATTATTATGTAAAGGAATGTGTTAGTCTGCTCGGGCTGCCATAACAAAATACCACAGACTGAATGGCTTAAACAACAGAAGTTTCTTTTCTCACAGTTCTGGAGGTTGAAAGTCCAAGATCAAGGTGCTATCAGGGTCCGTTTCTGGTGAGAGCTCTCTTCCTGGCGTGTAGACAGCCGCCTTCTGGTTGGGTCCTCACATGGCCTTTCCTCTGTGGTGCACACTCCTGGCATCTCTTCCTCTTCTTATAAGGTCACCAATCCTGTTGGATTAGGGCCCCACCCTTATGACCTCATTTAACCTTAATTACCTCTCTAAAAGCCCTGTCTCCAAATACCATCACTTTGGGGATTAGGGCTTCAGCATATGAATTTGGGGAGATACAATTCAGTCCATAACAAAGAAATATAAGTATCATTAAGTACAAAAAAGTAGAGAGCTTTGTAGAAAATATGAAAGACATTTTATATATCTTGGGTTTGAGTGCTATCAGTTATTCTGAGTTGGGGCAATATGCACCCACTAAAAAGCTATGTGGATAAGATTTTTCTGAATGACCCAGGGTTAAACTCTATTAAAAGAATTATTGCTCAGGAACTAGCTTATTTAGGTACTTATATAAAAATCTACTCAAAAATAATTTCTAGGGGCTGGCCTGGTGGCATAGAGGTTAAGTTTGCACGCTACGCTTCGGCGGCCCAGGGTTCACAGGCTTGGATCCCAGGCGTAGACCTACGCACCACTTATCAAGCCATGCTGTGGCAGGCATCCCACATAGAAAAGTAGAGGAAGGTGGGCACGGATGTTAGCCCAGGGCCATTCTTCCTCAGCGAAAAGAGGAGGATTGGCAATGGATGTTAGCTCAGGGCTAATCTTCCTCACAAAAATAATAATAATAATTTCTAAAGGAATTATCACAGTTATTTCTAAAATCTTACAGATTCTCAATATGTGTCTCTACATGTCATATACATCATCCTAGACCTTTTATAACACATCATTGTTGACAGTTGAAATGGCAGCTGCTATATTTTTATTAATTTCAAACCTGACAAAAGAAGTGGTACAAACGGTTCTTGACATAGACTCTCAAGAAGTTGCTAATAAATACAATTTTGAAAGTGTTCAGAGTTTTGAATTACCCTGAACTTTTCAACCTTTCTGCAATAGGCATGTGTTACTTTGCATTCTAAGAAAAAAACACATAAAAGGCTTTTTTCAGAGAGAACTTAGGGACAAAGTACCACTGTTATTCTCACTCACATGTCAGGTTTGATGCATGACCAAGCACTTTTAGTCTTCTGCTTATAGGTACTTAGAAGAGGAGACTTTCGTTTACCTGATCTATCCGACAAGATTCTCAGCAGAGGAGTGATGTGACAGATCACCTCTGGGGCCCCTCTCCCACCTCCTCTTGCTGATCCTCAGATTCTAGAGGGGCGGCATAATGTAGAGGGTCAGAGCACTAACTCTGGAGCCAGACTGTCTGGGTTCATAGCCCAGCCACTTACGAGATCTGGGATCTTGGGCAAATTCCTTAATCTCTCTTGCCTCATTTCCTCAAATGTAAAATGGGAATGATAATAGTATAATAATCAGAGGGTTGTTGTGAGGATTCAGAGTATTGACATATGTAAAGTACTTAGTGCAGTACAGGCATATAATAAATGCTATGTAAGGCTAAATATTATTTTTAGAATCCTTTCTATATTGAGTCACTGTTTTGGGGAGAATGCTGTATTCCTTAAGCAGTTATAGTAGAAAAAAATGACGGAGAGTAACCTCAGAGTAATACGTTTCAAGGGCTAATGTCAAGTTACCACCAGAGTGGTTTCTTCTAGTGTCTAGGAATTTTAACATTTTATGAACATGATATATATGTTCAAAAATGTGTTTAACGTTTTCATTGGCTGCCTTTTAGGACCAGAGGAGGATCTTCCAAGGAAGATGGAGTATTTGGAATTTGTGTGTCACGCACCTTCTGAATATTTCAAGTCTCGTTCATCACCATTTCCCACAGTCCCCACCAGACCAGAGAAGGGCTACATATGGACTCATGTTGGACCTACTCCT